GATATCTTGGTTGCTTCCAAGCTTGGGTAATTATAAATAAAGCTGTTAAAAACATTTGTGTGCAGATTTTTGTGTGGGTATGTTTTCAACTCGTTTGGGTTAATCCCAAGGAGCATCAGTGCTGAATTATATGGTAAGACTATGTTTAGCTTTGTAAGAAACCACTAAACTGTCTTCCAAAGTTACCATTCCATTTTGCATTTTCAGAAGCAACGAATAAATGTTCCTGTTGCTCCACATCCTCGCCAGCATTTGGTATTGTAAGTGTTTTGGATTTTAGCCATTCTAATAGGTGTGTAGTGGAATCTCACTATTGTTTTAATTTCAATTCCCTAATGACATATGATGTTGAGCATTTTTTTGTATCCTTACTTACCATCTGTGTATCTTCTTGGGTGAAGTGTGTGTTTAGATCTTTTAACCATTTTGTAATTGAGATGTTTATTCCCTTATTGTTGAGTTTTAAGAGTTGTTTGTATATTTTGGATCCAATTCCTTTCTCAGATGTGTGTTTTGCAAATATTTTCTCCCAGTCTGGGGCTTCAATTTTCATTCTCTTAAATTTTAATCTTTTAAAGTGGGTATTATACTCAACATATCAATAGGCACTGATGGCTGTAGTCACTTTTCTGTATTTGTGCAGCAGGTAAAAGAGAAAGTCATCATGGAAGAATTCTTGTTCAGTGAATCATTCATCTTACTATGTGTTCAATTTTATCATTTTCATTTTGAAGTGTAAGATAATGTCTGTCATATGTGGTCCTGGACTCCTTTGTCCTGATGGGGCCCCTATTGTGCTAGGGAAACAATTAGAATTTTGTGTTTATATAACAAAGAACTACCTCCTGTTTTCATGACCTCTCTTACTGCAACATCAAGCACTTGCTACGGTGAAATTGTAAATGCAACAGAAAGGTGGCTAATTTAGTGCAGTGATTGCAGTAAACTTTATCAGAGACAAAGTTTTAAACCATTGTGTCTTCCTTGCTTTTACTAAATAAAAAATACCAAGCATATTGTCTATCTTTTCTTCTAAGATAAATAAAATATTCATTAATTTGTTCATTCATTCAATAAATATTTATCAAGTGCCTACAGCATGACATGTCAGACACTGTTTAGGCACTGGAGATGCAATACTGAAACAGACAAAACCTGGCCCTAATGGAAATTACTGTCTGGCAGAGGAGTCTAATGATAGGCCATATAAATAAATAAGATAAAGAGTATGCTAGTTAGTGATATGTACCATAGACAAAAAAAAAAAAAAACGGAGGAAGAAGGATATGTAATGTTGGGAAGGTGTGTTCATAATTTTAAATAAAGTGGCATGAGATGCTGTCACTAAGAAAATGACTTTTGAGTAAAGATGTGAAGGAGTCAAAGAGCTAGTACATGTCTGTAGGAAAGGAATTCCAAGCAGAGGTCACAGCAAGTGCAAAGGCCCTGAGATGGGAAGGTGCTTGGCAATATTGAAAAAAGGGGAGAAGGGCAGTGTGCTCTAGGGTAGTGACTGGAAGGGAAGAGTAATAGGAGATGAGGTCAGAGAGATAAGAAAACAAAACAGAACAAAACAGATAACAAAGGGCCTGCAGGGCATAGGAAGGACTTTGGATTTTATTATGCATATGAAATATTAAACTTTTCCTTTTCTTTTTGACCTTTTCTCTGATAGGCAGAATCATCCATGTACCCTCAAAAAGAATTGTGATTGTTACAGTAGGAATGCAGGGAGAAGAAAACAGTATTTTTAGAGGAGGGAGTAGGGAGTAGGGAGGGAGAGTGTTCTAAATTAGTAATAAAACAGGAATGAAAAGAGAAAGTTAATAGTCCGCTTTTTCATTTTCAAACAATCTCTTGTGTTGAAAAGGAAAGCATTTGAGGGGAGTAAAACACTCCTTATGCTGTTAACAGGACTAGAAAGAGAATAGAGGACGCCACTGAAAACCCCTGTCTCTGCCCCACTTCAGAGGGGCAGGGTGACTTAGGAAGGAAGAGAGGGTGGTTGGGTGTGACTTTGAAAGGTATGTGTGTGTGTGTGTGTGTGTGTGTGAGAGAGAGAGAGAGAGAGAGAGAGAAATTGAGAGAGAGGTGAGGGGCTGGATGGCAAGTGCTTGTGGAGAAATGGGAGTCTGCAGCAGAGGCAGCAAAGCTGAATACGATTTGTGGCCATTACCAGGGAACATGTGCAAGTCAGTGTTTGCAGAACTGTTGGGCAACAGAGCTTACTTCCAAGCTGCCTATTCTCTAGGAAATTAATTATTCAGTAGGACACCCATGTGTGCCTTGAGACTTTGCTGAGCACCTCCCTCTCCTCCCCTTCCAACCACCCCCCCCCTTCCCCTGCACACAACTACGCCATGAGTAGATCTCTGCCGGGACCTATAAGATAGCTCTCCTGGTCATAGCCCGGACTCTCTCATGCTCCTGAAAAGAGATGGGGTCAAGGTGGGGCACTGGATGCCTGGAGAGGAAGTGCTCAGAAGAGAATGAGCGGTAAGGTAAATTTAGCCTAGTTAACTTTCATCAGGTAGAGTGGTTGGCATTCTGGCAACCAGATGTTTACTCTATTTTTAAAGTGCTTGATGAAATGTCACTTTTGTTGGGCACGAAAATTAGTAATTTAATTAGTGACTTAAGATATAGATAACTTATCCTTTGCTTTCTATACATAACAGATATATTTGGACAAGGCATATTTACTTAAATATGCAGGTAGAACAAATACGATAATGTTTAGAAAATTTACGAGGAAATTTTCATTTCAGATATAGACTCTGGAAAAGTAGTTTTATTAACTTTTCTTTTGTGGAAGAAACAGCTGATTTATAAAATAAATTTATTTATTAAATGCATATGTATAGTACCTATTATGTGGAGCCCTGGTGGTGCAGTGGTTAAGTGCTTGGGTACTAACAAAAGGTCAGCAGTTCTAACTCACCAGCTGCTCTGTGGGAGAAGCCTTGTTAACCCTATGGGGTAGTTCTACCCTGTCCTATCAGCTTGATATGAGTCAGAATTGACTTGAGGGCAACGACTTTTGCTTACTATGTGCCAGGGACTTTTCTAGGTGCTAGAAGTAGAACAATGAACAAGATAAAGTCTCTGCCCTCATAAAGCTTGCATTAAGAAAAATTTAGTAGATTTTTTAGTAGATAAATTGGTTTAATTGATAAATTTGTTCAGTAGATAAAAAATTATTCAGTAGATAAACACTTAAACAAAATAATTACAACTAGAACCATGTTCTACAAGTTTCTAGTTAATTAATAAACCTAAACTATATAAACCATAACATTAGATGAAAGATGGTCAAATTAATTTACAAATTAATAGACTATTCCAAGAATCTGCAAATTACAGCTCATGGAACAACCTGTGGCCAGATTCTGTTTTTGTAAATAAAGTTTTATTGGGACACAACCACATCTATTTCCTTATATATTGTCTACTATTGTTTTTGAGCTATAACACCCTCTGACCGCAAAGCCTAAAATATTTACTATCTGGGCCTTTACAGAAAATATTTGCCAATCCTTGGGTTAATCCAAATATAATTCGAGGCAAAGAAGAAGTTTTAAAATTTCTTGATTGTACAAGAAGCACCCTTTTCAAAGCTGTATAAGGAAATATAGGAGATTAAATCATATTTTTGCATAAGATAGTGTTTTTGTCACTTTTATAATCAAAACATCAAAAATTCAAAAGGCATATAAATGCATGTGATGTGTGATTAAAAGCTTTGAGTTTTTCTAATGTTATTAAATAAAAGATACAACAGAACAGTTATTGTACCAGTAACTTATTAGACAGTACATAATTTTTCTTACTCTTAAACTATGTATGGCTCTTTCTCTTTCATTGAATAGTTATGATAAATCTTAGTTTAAGCAATTTTTGATAAGGGGTAAAAAAAGCATATTTTGAGAGCAAGAGCAGACAGAGCACATAGTATTTAAGAACCAATGTTATAGACTTCAATCTGTTATTGCTCACCTATATTTCTAGTAGACTCCTACTGGTTTACCAGGTGCTAATGTTGCTCCACTTCAGTACATCCTCCCTAGGTTCTGTGACAGCTTCCTGTTGAACGTTATGCTTGACTTCCATTGTTTATGCTTATTTTCTTTTCATCATCTCTCCTGGGTATTGATTCATTTTTTTCCACATTCCTACATTACACTCTATATACCTCTATGATATTATTATTTGGCTAATAGCATTTCAACATCCTTCTAACTTTTCACTCCATTTTTATTCACATCTGAATTTTTCCTTTGAAAATTCCTTGAACTTCTGACCTCTCAGTTTGGTTCCATTGTCATCCTTCTGTGTTCCTCTTTCTTCATCTCATCATGATATTTTACTCATGATCATAGCGTTTCTTTTTCATTCCCACATAGTAGTTATAGCACCCATCATTTTGGTGATACCACACAAATGCTCCAAGTATGTGATTAGGGAATAGAGGGTGGGAGGGAGCTCTCCTAAAATTACAAAGCCTTATTTTGTAATCTGCTTGACTCTGCAGCCCTTCAATCCACACAGTTGAGGCCATTTAATTCCTATCTGTAAATTCAAGTCAACTTCAGGCTCTCAAACCAATCCTTCTTAAGTAGTAGGAATTTGTAAAAACTTGGCCAATAACGTCATATCAAATTAGCCCAGCTGTTTGTTCTCTTTTTACAACATGTTAAATAGATAATTATTTTTGTTACCAAATTATCACACTATTCATTAGTTCTAAAAACTAGTTCACCTTATTCTCTGTAACTGGTGTTGAACTCTGTATGTACTATGCTGTATCTCAGGTCCCCTAAAAAGGTGGGTGGGGGGTGGGGACCATCTAACTTACTCAGCCAGGTCTTGTCCCTTTACCTAGTTTGGTAGCTAGAATGATACTCCTTGGGGCAAGACCTCAGTGACCTAACCCTGGCTTCAGGGAGAAGCAACGAGGTTAAACTGAGAGAAGCCTTTAAAAGAAACAAAAATGTATTTACCTTGTTGGAGTAAATCAATTATTCACGAAGATGGCTTTAGAATTGATCTTGTTGAAATAAGCCAGGCATTACCTCTTCACATCTAGGTCTTAGGTTGGAGAAAGTCATGAACTTGCATTCTTCACATTTCTTTCTGAGCTTCTGAGCAGTGTTACAGAAAATGAAAACAAAACAACACAGAAAAACCCAGGATGACTAATACTTGTTAAATTCATAGCCAACCATTTCAACTGGGCCCTGAACACTGATGAGAATTTTTCTCTATTTCCTGAAGAAATTTCTCCTTCACTTTTCATTATGATGATTTCGAATCTAATTCATTCCCCTCCAACATCTGACTTCAGCCATTTTCCCTCTCTTTCTTATTTTCTGTGGCAGATCTTGATAGAGAAAATAGAAGCCATCAGATAAAAAGTCCCTCAGTGTTTCAGCACCAACCTGCAAACCTCTATGTGACTCTTCCTTCCTTTCCCCCTTTCCTCTGGTTTTGATGCAAGAGGTCTGCTTTCTCTCTTGAAGCTTTATCTGAGAATTATCTGAGAAGTATCCTATCTTCTTTACTGTCTCCAACCTCTCCAGTTTTACTTGCTCTTTCCCACCCACTGAATTCAAGCGCGTGCTATTCAAAACAAACAAGCGAACGAGAAGGCAATCACACCAAACCAACAGCCTTCCCTGGACCGCACATCTCTTTCTAGCTACTGACCTCTCTCTTGCTTGTCACAGTCCAAATACTTGAACAAGTTGCCCATAATTGTTGTCTCTGCTTTCTTACCTCCTGCTGGTTTCCAAACCACAGTAATCTGCTGCTTCCTGCACCACCACCCGGAAACAGCTTTCAACACAGTTACAGATGGCATTTGCTGTTGTAGTTATCTACTGTCCAGTTGGCTTCCAGCTCATCGTGACCGCATTAACAACAGAACAAAATGCTGCCTCATGGGTTGCAGATCAGACTGTTCTGGTTTTCAGAAGACGCTCGCAAAGCCTTTCTTCCTAGTCTTCCTAGTCTGTAAGTTCCACTGAGCTATGTATCATCAAAACAACACATAAGCCTCCACTGACAGATGAGTGGTGGCTGGACTTCTGGTGCATTGGATGGGAATTGAACCTGGTTCTTCTGTGTGGAAGGAGAGAATTAACCAAGGAACCACCAATGCCCTACAAATGGCATACGTGCCATTACATCAGCTTTTCAGTTGTCTGATGTTTCAAAAGAATTTGGCACCTTTGAGCACACTCTATTTCTAAAAAACACTCTGTCTTCTTGGTTTCTAAGAAAATACAGTCTTGTGATGTTTCTCTTTATTCGCCAGCCAGTTTTCTTCAGTCTTCTTTGTTGGCTTCTCTGCCTCTACCCATCCACCAAAAGGCCAATTTCTCTCAGGGCTATGTGTTTGCTCTCCTTCACACTATATTCTATGCATTATCTCAAAGTAATCTTTATCCCTTATTACATCTTCTATCACTATTTACATTATGAAAACTCCCAAATAAAAAATCTCTAGCTCAAATCTCTAGTTCTCCCTCTGACCTCCAGATCGATAAACTTAATTGAATACTTTACACATCCATTTTGCTGGCTTGCAAGGCACCTCAAATCCAACTCTTCTAAAAAGCAAGTTCTGAAAACTCCTTAACTTATATTTATATTTTGAAAATTCCTAAGTAAAATCTCTAGTTCAAATCTATCCCCTGACCTTTAGATTTATAAACCTAATTGAATGCTTTACACATTCATTTTGCACATACAGCTTGTCTAGACCAGAACTTATCAAATTTTCTTCCTAAACTCTACAAAAAATTCTGCTCTTCTCTCTATGTTCCTTGCTCAAGTCAGGGACGGGGAGTGTCTTTCTTGACTACTTATGCTTAGTTATCCTCAGCCTCCATCCTGTTAATCTCGAAGAGATTTAAAAATAATGGAAAAGACAGCATTGATAGCATTTTCTTTCCATTTCATTGCCACTGCCTTAGTTCCTGTCACTTTCTTAATTCCAGAGCCCTTAGTATGTCTCTCCAGCTTTTCACTTTGATTTATTATTTACAGCTTAGATGTCTCTCTTCTTTCTCTAAATTGTGAGCTTCTTTAGTCAGGACCTGTAATTTATCTGTCTTTGTGTTTCTAGCTAGTTACCTAGCTCAGTGCCTGGCTCTAAGAAGGGAGTCAGTAAACAAACAAGTGAATGACTTCTCGAACATTTAGCTGCCTGCCTGCCCTCATACTTTCTACCATTTGCAAGGTCTAGGATTACCTGCCTACCTCACCCCTGGGCCCCAAATGAACTTGGCCTTGTTTATTGGGATGCCTGATAAAACTGGGATTGACAATGTTGAAGATTATAACAAATCTCAGTTCAGTTTTTCTGAAATGTACATTTTGTACTTCCAGACTCTTGAATTGGATGCCCATGACTAGCATCAGTGGGTATGTGAAGCCACAGAACATGTGTTTTCTCAGAATATCAGTTTTGGTAACTTCTTAGTTCCTTGAGACATAATATTTATGTTCAAACAGGATATGTTATGGAGTCAAATGCAAAATTCGACTCATAAAATAAAATCATAAAAATAAAACGTAGGATTTCAAAACATGAAACTTCAAACAAATTCCATAATTGGGTGGACCAATCTCTACTAAATCCTCATATCTCTGTGCACATGGCTTTTCACTCTTCTGTTTAGGGATACTGAACTTTAGATGTGAAGTCTGAGGAATTGCTGGAATGTTGTATGTTGTGTGCGTGTGTGTGCTGGAGAGAAGTTTCTCCATGAAGATTCTATGGAATGGGATTTTGAGTTTAATGCTAAAAGAAAAATCACAATAATAAATAAATAAATAAAACCTCTTCAGAGTTTAGTTTTTACCAGAGTTAGCACTAAACTGCCTGGTTTTCTTCTGAATTCCAGGCTTTTCAATGTTAGTATATAACAGTTTTAATAAAGGAAGTTGAACTTTCTTCAGCTGTCCTTCCCAGCAGCCAAAATGGAGCTAAATGCCTCACTGCTTTGTTATTGAATTGCCTGTAATGGGAATATGGGAGTAATCTGCTGCACATGGGTCTAGAAATCTTTCATGGTAGGTCTACATTTAAGACAATAGGATTTGAATTTTATTTTATTAACAAACAAGTAAAATCAAGAGAGCATCACAAAATTAGTTTAATAATTTAGCATAAGGAATTTCCATGAGGATTTAAAAATCCCTTTAGAGGAATTATAAGGCGTACTTCTGTGTTTTCTGTCATGGCTAACCACAACAGAGGTTGCATATGTTCCATAATTTTTACCAAAAGGAACAGATGGCAAAATCTGAATTTTGAGGGCTTCGCATTTTAAGGAGTGCCTACTAGCCAAATGACTTAGATATACACACATTAAAAATAATCATTTTTCTTTTATGTAATATTACCCTACCATGAGTTTGAAGGAGCCCTGGCGGTGCAATGGTTAAGTGCTCGGCTGCTAACCAAATGTTGGCGGTTGGAACCCACCAGCTGTTTCGAGGTGGGGGAGAGGGGGAGGACCTGGCAATCTGCTCCCGTAAAGATTACAGACTGGGAAACCCTATGGAGCAGTTCTACTCTGTCATATAGAGTCGCTATGAGTTGGAATCAACTCGACGGCACACAACATCGTGAGTTTAGCAGCCCTTTCACTTCCTGTACAGAAGTCTTTTTAGCTCTATTCAGTTTTTTAAAGAAGAGATCTGTGAGTGGTCAGTGAAACTGAGTCCAGAGAGCATTCACTAGCTGAGTGACACTGGGCATACTTCTCCTCTGATCTAGTGCTTGGGTTTTGTATCCATAAAATAAGCGGGCCAGGTACCATTTCCGGTGTCTTTTACCAAGACTGTGATACTAACATACCGAAGGAGAGGCTAGACTGGACTGAGGCTCTCCAAATGCAGGTCAGGGAAAAAGGTAACATCTCTTGCTTCTAGATTTGCTCAGCAAAGTTTACATTGTATATTGTATATAAAATTATTGAATGTGAATATATCATTGTGAAACAATTTATACCAAGCTCTGCATTTTTTGGTGGTTTCTCTTTTTAAAAACATTGTTCATAGAAAAGATAAGATAGAACATACGAAACAAATATGGTCCTTCAGTTTTAGAGTCCTTCAATGAATTAGAGCTAAAGCGTTAGGACACTCTTTCTGCTCATTGGTGGCTAACACACAAGTTAGTGATTTACTTGAAGTAGGCATTGTGTTCTTATTTTGTTTTGTCTAGACAGCCAAATTCTTTAGCGCAATTCAAAGAATGTGCAGCCAGTGTTGATGACATAGTAAAGGAAAACAAACGTAATAAATTTCCAAATTATGCTTTTTAAAGTCATTGAAAAAACGAGGCTCTTTAAAAAACTATTTTCATAAAACATACACTCGTTTCTTCAGCCATCTGTCTGGAGTTTTTTAATGTACGAAAAATGATTGTGGGCTGCAATCTGGACGTCTTGGAGTATTTTACCTATATATAATTTTTAAATTAATGTGTGTCCAGAAAATAGTTCTACGATTAAATAATGACATTAAAACAGTAATACTTCAGCACTGGCTATGGGCTCAGATGGTCGATTTGAGTTTTGCGGATTAGACCAAAGATTCTTAGTGAAAAACATCAGTGTATTATAAATAGCAAGATGAAAATAGAAAACCATTACCTCAGCAGGAGCTGTGTATATGAGAAGAGTGAAGATTTGAAGTTGCTTAAATACAGTGGGTGACATTAACAATCTAGTTTATTTTAGATGAAAACTGTTACTGAAAAAATATTATTTTAAAAATTTTAATGATATAGATATGAATTCTTCTGCAGTGATCTAGTAGGTATTATCTGTCACATTAAATAGAACAAGACAAAGTGAATCACCTGCAGTATTAAGACCTTAGTTCATGCTCTAAGAAAGCATCCATTAAATTAATTCTTCCGTCGGAAAATTTCTTTCTGATGAATCAGGTTCTTCACATGCTCATCTACACAAGGTGATGCGTGACTTTTTCCCCCCAGGTCACTTTTCATATAGGGAATCATTAAAAAAAGGTTGTTCAGGGGAAGTGGTGATTCAGTGGTAGAATTCTAGCCTTCCTTGAGGGAGATCTAGGTTTGATTCCCAGCCAATGCACTTCGTGCACAGCTACCACCCATCTGTCAATGGAAGCTTGCATGTTGCTACTATGCTGAACAGGTTTCAGTGGAGCTTCCTAGATGGACTAGGAAGAAAGGCCTGGCAATCTACTTCCAAAAATCAGTCAGTGAAAACCCTATGGATCATAATGGTCTGATCCGAAGTCAACCATGGGAATAGTGCAGGACAGGGCAGTGTTTCCGGGTAGCATTTTGTTTCGTTGTGCATGGGGTCACCATGAGAGGGGGACCAACTTAACGGCAACTAACAACAACTGCGAAGGATGTTCACCTTTCCTTAACCTTATCGGTTTAAAAATGGAGAGGAAGGATAAGAACCTTTTTTTTTTTTCTGTTGTATCTTTTGTAAGATTCTCTGAGGCCACAGTAGAGAATTGGGTTCAAATGATAATCAGAAAGACAGAGGCAACTTTTAAAATAATGGCAATTGTATTAAACAGAAATCCTTCCCAAACCCCAGAGTATCTCTCAATAAATTATTGCATTTCATTAATCCTCATTATAAACCTTTAAGCAGTGTTGCAACTTATTTATATGGAATGGTTCATTCTATTTCTCCATTCAGTTGTTTATTTGTTGAGTCTCAAAGGCTAGGAATTGGTGGTTTTATTGATAATGTACAACCTCTCCTCCAAAGAGAGCAATTTAGGAGTA